CGAAGAGTTCGGGGCAGGTTGAAACAGCGGTCCACCGCTTGAGACAGCCTTCGGTTGCTGCGCATGGGGCGCGCGCAGAGACCAGTTTCACCATCAGGGGGCCGTTCACAGGTTCCGGAACACACGGTGGAACAAGGGGGTCGCTCGGCGCATCATCCCCCCTCCTTTGGAATCCGAACGAAGTATGGAGAAAGAAGTCAGAACCTTTGGACGATTTATTGGTCACGAATGAAATTGATAAGGTAGGATTCAAGGGAGACTCACTCAAATCTGTCTGCCTAAAACACTAAAACACGACTTGTCTGCCTCAATGCCATGAGATTCCACTGTCACCCCATGGAGATCAAGGGAAAACTCCGACAAAAAACAGGGCGGACGCTACTCCTCGTTCCGACCGCGCATGCGGACCACTCGTAGATCGGGCGAAGAACGACGCTCGTTTCCGACAGGCGAGTCGGGCAGCGCGCCTCCCAAGTTTCGAAGTAGACATAGGCATGTCCGGAAGGTAATTGATCTACCCTTCGCCTGGAAACGGCACCGGCAGATGAAAGAGCCCACTTTTGGAACAATCTGAGAAACAGTTCACGTCTCGTTCACAACCAGTTTGTTTGGGAAGCTTCATCTTCAACTAAATTCAATCATCCAGCAGTCACAAGACGGGGTACCGAACTTGGAGGATCGGGGTGCCCCTGTCACATCCACTCACTGGATGGGACGAGCCAAACCACCCCGTCGAACGTGACTCCTGGATTGAAGAATTAGAGCTGCCATGTTTGCTTTCTTAAAGAACAACAACTCTTGTGCAATCTGGCGCCGGGATCATCTCGGAATGCGACCAAAGGGGAAACGTGGATGGCGGTGTCAAAAGCAAAATCACATCGTCAAAACATGGTGTCATTCTGCCCTGACCATTTGACCCTATCTTGTGCTTTGTCTCAACACCATGCCCAGCTTGAGACAGAAATATCTAAGGGGCCAAGGATACCTGCCAAGACTTAAATGTGAAGACTGCCAAGTCTTCCTTTTGAAGTCCATGAACAAACTCCTGCATCACCGGCCATTCGTGTACACATGGGTACACAAAAGGGCTGCAAGCATCTGTAATGAAGCAGAAGAACTCAGAAGAAACGACAAAAAGGAACAACGAAGAACGCCTGGCCTGATGATTTCCACATCCTGCTTGACGTCAGGCTCCAATTCCACCTGTTGGAGTGCATCAGCTCACCCAACAATGCGGCAAGGTGGAATGGTCCCTCGACAAAAATAGGTGTTGTACCAGGACCCCCAGTCGGGGTGGTTCATGGATACCCCGAATGACAGCTGTTTGGGGCTATAAAGAGACACCCCGACAAGTGTCGGGTCCTGGTAAGTACCCGCCTTGGTATAGGATTTGGATGTTTTATCCCAGAACGTCCGTGACTTGACGAACATGAACTACCCCCAACCTAGAAGTCCATCCATCCATCCACGGTTGCAGGACCTCGGGGTAGGTTTCATCCTGTTCGTCCTATCTTCGCCCGCACTCTCCGGGGATCTGAGGGGGTAGAAGCGGAAACTCCACCCCCTCTGAAACGGACACCTGGCCAGACCTGCCAGGCCTTGAGGTTTCACACATCCCATTGTTCAGAGTCTCCGGTGGTTCTCCGAGGTGAGAAACGGCATCTGGTGCCGGCCGTTTGGAAGCTGCCGGTGCTGGTGCCGGGGCTCCAGCGCTCGCTTGGACAAGCTGGCTGCGCTCGATTGATATGGTGTTTCATGTCGATGACCCGCCCCAAAAAGATCACCTTGCATTTCGCTGCAAAAAGAAGGAAAGCCGGGAGAACATGCCAAGAAAAAAAGAATCCCCCAGGTGTGGGGCTTGAAGCAGTTCAGGAACATCAACCAATCACCCGAGTTGACCGCAATTCACCAGCTCACCGCCCCAGCCGTCACCGTTTCAGCCGTTTCCGCCGTTCGCCTCGGCCAGGTTGAAGCCGCCAAAGAAGTGACGAATCTCGTCCTGGAACGACCAGGACGTGTAGGTCCTATAGGTCTGCTCTGGTCGCAGGTCTGAACAGCTGGAAACAGGTGGAGACGACGAACCAGACGACGAACGTCTGACCCAAGTTTATCAAAATCCACCTTTCGTTGCCCAGGTGTCTCCCAAAAAAAAAATCCTTGTCGAAGAATAGACACAACATCGAAGCATGGTGTGTAGGATTGTGCAGGTGTTTCAGTGCCAAAAATACCCATTCAGTCCCATTCAGTGCCATGGATGACTCCGGATTCGTCTTTGGAATCCTTCGAGGCGGTGAAGGGCAACCCGCGCAGTCGCACGCGGGGCGGCCACGTGGAAGCAGCGCGGGACGCGAGCGAGCTGAGAGCACGAGCGTGCCGCCCGAGGAAGGCGCCTGGCCGAAGTGGATGGTGGATGGATTTCAGGTGACAATGGAGCATTGGTTGTTTTGATGGAATATTCCTTGTCCTGAATGGATTCAAGTATGTTCTTAATGTGTTTCGCTCCCCGAGGCCCCGCCGGGTCGCCCCGTTCCGCTGCGGCTCGCCGGGTCGCCTCCTCCGGCGCGAAGGCATGGGCCGCGGCCGCCAGCGAGGCGCATGCAGGTCAGCGGGCCCACGTGCGCCGGCCGCGTGAAGGACGTGTGTCTCTGGTGTTTTGGGCGCTGGCAGGGAGACCAGACCTGGGAGACCTGATCCACGTGTGGAACAGCGATGCCTCTCCCCCCCGAGTCGTGTGAAACAGAGCCTGGTGAAGTTCACACCAGTTGCCAGTGACTGAAAAAGAGAAATTGGCTCGAGACTTGTGTCATTACCCCCGCACTGGCCGCCCATAACGGGAAGGCGTGGTGCCTTTTTCTATAGCGGGAAGTACACGGGAGAATGGTTTCCCAACTGTAACTACGCCATTCAATCCTTGAAAAATGCCTTTCACGGATCTTCATCAAGTTATAGTTACGTGCATCCCAATCATGATGGTGATAGACGGATCCGTCAGTTCTTCAGCGTCCGTTTGAGCCGCCCGTGGCGCGAACACCGCGCGCGACGTCAGAACTCACGACTGACTGTAGACATGAAGAAAACGTAACACTTAGGACTCAGGACATCCTTCTCCCAAACTCACTGACAGGTGGTGTGACTGACCAAAGTACCTCGACAGTCCTGGATCCATTCGCTGTAGACTCCATATCGATTATATAATCCAATAATATCCCCTATAGATCCCGATATTAGCTTTGGAGAATGCCCAACAACTTTCGCCTGATTAGCCAATCGTTGTATTTTGAGATTCGCTGGAGTGTCCACGATTCACTGATTCTTGCGAGAGACACCGGAGGATCCTTGGTCGTTTTGAGTGCCCGGCTGCCAGCTCCGCTCTCCGCTCCGCAACACTCCCCTGGCACCGTGGGAGATTGGCACGTGACTTGTTGGAGTGGATTTGCGGCTCACAGGAAGCCGGGGAAAAAGTATCAAAATCTTCCCCAGGTTTGGGGGATTGACCCAGTTGGAGAAGATTTTAGAAATCACTGGATCCGCCACCAGAAAGACATTGACACTGGAATTGGCGATTCCCGCCAACTGGGGCTGTTAGGAATCTGCGGTACCAACAGCATCCTGGTGTCCACCAAAGGATAAAGAAAAATTGCTGTCCATAGCATATGAAGCCCCCCAAGACATGTTGAATTGGACCGTGGAGGGTTGCGAATCTAGGTTTTAGATGATTTTAGGATGTTTTAGTGCCTATAGGCTACTTCAGGTCAGTGGTGTTGAACACCTGCAATCGCAAGTCCATCTGCTAAGGACCACACCTTGCACGCCTGCTCACGGCACCAAGGAGGATCGCAGGTCGCCTTCCCCCGCATCGCCCCCCTAAGCGGTTCCACCGAAATCCAGTTCCACTTCAGATCTCCCTCCCTCAACCCGCACCTCCCAGGCCTTGCAGAAGCTAATCAGCGGCGATGAAGCTCAGAGCTTCGAAGGCCTCTTCGGGCGACCATCGCATCAGCGAAAGGGGGGGGCCACCGAGCATCACACAACGACAGGTTCCCATCCGGTTGCTCTTTTCGTGGTTTCTCCTTGGCCGCGGGTGAACAAGCAAATCAGGTGCCCATCAGGTGGTCTGTAGCAGCTGTTGGGTAAAGATCGAACCTGGGGGGCTGCCGCTGCCTATCTTACAGATTCAAAAGATTCAAAGTCCTTGTAACACTCAGATTTATCAAGGAACATGTTCATCCACTTGTGTTTCTTCCACTGGCAGGTCGAAAAGCAGCCGCGCCCCCCCCCATGCAGAGAGGATCCTTTTCTGGCTCTGCCGCCGTGAGTCATGTGAGTCGAAAGCCGTATGGAATCGGTGCCCAGTTCACGTGCGGAATAGGCCTCAGATCCCCCGTCTGAAAGGCGCGTCCACGGTGTCTGACACCCCCGAAGCACCGTGGTGGGGGGTCAGAAAGTCCCTTCCAAACCCAGAAGCACTGGTCGGGTCGGTCTAGGAGTATGAGGAAAGTCCAGTGAAACCAGAAGGGACATAGACCGCCCATTGGTAGTTAATAGTTGGGGGGTCTCCTGCCTAGGATGGGGAGGTTGGATCGGAGTTGGGTGTGGGCACCAGGAGCTGCAAGGAGAAAACCAACACCAGGAGTTGCAACCTCCACTTTTTTTCTCAGATGTTCTTCCGTCTTGCAATGACCTGGTCTTTCTTGGAGTCTCAGACAGCATGTTCTGTGATGAACAAGCGCCAACCGAATTCCGTTTGGCAGGAGCTCTACAGCTCTTGTGTAAAAGACTATCAGTCACGCCATAGCGTCCATGTTGGGGGGAGTCCCATCTGCCAGGTGTCTGACCGCCTTAAGCCGCAAGCTTTCTACTGACTTCAGTGGGCTTTGAGACTCATCCAGTGCTGAAAGTCCGATGAATCCACCATCCTCCATCACCTCCCGTGTGTGCCCCCCCCGAAACCACCGAGCTGCCCCCGGGGGGGGCGGTCTGCCGGCGGTTCCTCCGGCGGTTCATCCGGAGCCGAACTCGTGCTCCGTGTGGTGCCGATAGACTTCGCCCGGGCGGAGCCTCGGAGAGTGAGATCGCTCGAGCCCGTGAGTCAAGGGCTCATGTCTCCTAGGCTTCCTGGCCCACCATGAATTTCATAGGCGGGTCATCCCGAATCAACTAAGGATGTTACACTACAAAAACCAGGTCAAACGGAAGTCTAGGGCTGTTCGTTACGTGTCGGGACCCTGAAGGGACCAAGGGAGGGTCTAGCAGGAGCCCTGACCGAGGGTCAGTCTAGCATGGTCTATTTTCGGGAGGTCCATGTGTTCATTTCCAATATGGGAGTGCTCTAGATTTCATCCATGGTCTTTTGGAGGGAAATGACTTTTTATATATGGAAGTGGGTTTCCAGGGTGACAGCCCCCCCTGTTTGTAGAGGAAGATCCCTGATCTTCCGAAATCGAGACCATGCCCATGCCATCCACGATCTTCCATGTGAGTTCCAGGCAGTGTCGCTTTCCGCACCCCGCAGGGGTCCCTTTTCCACCCTGAATCTGTCAGCCCTTCGGACGACCTGGATCCATCTCTGAAGGGTCTGGCATGACCCGACCACGGACCGACCTAGAAACAGGTCCAATGACCCGATGGCAGGACCGACCGAAGGGGTTGGGACCCGGACGTGAGGGTCCCTGATTCGGAGGGACGCTGACCGACGCTGACCGTTCGCGCCATGGACCGCTTCTTCATGTCGGATGAAGGCCGGGGCTTGAGAAAAAGAAGGGGTCCATGGAGCTCCGGAAGAAGAGAGGCGGGGGGTGAAGATGGCACTACTAAGTCCGTGCGGCCGGGTGGACATCTCCGCTCAAGTGGACATGTCCCATGAAATATGGCCTCCTCCCTTTCAGATGGAACCAGCGGCCCGGCCGGTTTCCCATGAAGAATGCAGGTGTTCACATACCAAAAGTGATCAAAAACCATGTGGTGTTTCCCATCAAAATCATTGAAAGAAACACACATGCCACAAAAACATGCAAGATCAATGAATAATACAGGTAAAACCATGTTTCTTTGCCAGAGAAAACCGGGTGTTTATTCTCCATCATCGGCGACTTCCTCTCAGCGGAAGAATTGTTTTCTGGGACTTTCACTCCACACAAGGTACAGACTAACACGGCCCAGTCTCTGTAAACATGGAACTGCGTCTCAGGTTTTTGAACGTGGAACTGTCTCCCGGTTGAAGATGAACATGGAACTTGAAGAAAACATGAAAAATGGTTCCGCCCTGGTTTGTAGAGGATCCTCCTCTTTCAAAGGTCCACCCACCATGCGACGTCGAACCCGTGGGGTCTCTAGTCGGGAAAACACGGGCCGAGTCGGTCCAGCGAGGCACACCACGTTGCTGAAATGAGCACCGTTCACATTCACGGCCTGGGACACGGTTGGTCTGAGGGTTTGGTACCTGGAAAGGGGTGGAGTTGGTCCGCTGTGGGGGCGAATTCAAACATGGAAGCTACTGGAGTACGTTGCGATGAGGTTGGCTCACCGTTCATCGCAATGGATCAATTTGGCCATTCATTGGACCTACGTCCTACGAAGTCGGAAAAAGAAGAAACAGCACCGAATTTGAGGACCTGATGTAACAAATCTCATCCGGTTTCAAGGCACAAAGCTGTCCCTTTTAAGGGGTCTCCCCAAAAAAAATGCACCTTGATTCTGCTGGAAGATCCCTACGCAGAGCCAAACCGTCCTGTCGCTTCCTTCTTCTTTCGACCGCTGGAACCTCCGCGGAGCCAGACTGGCCGGTCCCGAGCTCGCTCGCCACAGTGATGTCTGGAGAGAAGTCCGAAGAAGTCCTGTAATGAGAAGTCCTGTTTCACCAAATAGTATCCAGTTTGACTATATACTTTTCCTCAGTGAAGTATAACAGGACATTCCTGAAATCAGGTATGTTTAACAGTTGTGACCATCCAGGTAGGAAGTTGCATCCAAATCGTCCACATTCTTCTCCTCTAAGTCGGTCGCGTTACACGAACGGTCCCACGTCCAACGTCCAGCCGTTGCAGGCCGTGGCCGTTGCGCCGGCAAACGTCCCGCTCCGCCGAGTGGCGTTGGGAAAGCACTGCGTCTCCAGGCAAAAGCCATGGTGCTTCTCGTAGCCCTGCCCCGTTCGACCTGCCACGTTCCGGGGCCACGGCTTTCGGCGCGGCTCGCGGCGCGGCGGTCGTTCGGAGGGCTGTTGGAGGAACGTGCAAAGGAACGCTTTCAGAGACCGTGGACGGAGGAAGAGCGCCTGGAAAGCCGTTGAGGTAGTTTCCGGTGTAGAACTGGACCTAGGCACACAACTCAGGCCATGGCAGCACACGAGGGGGGGGGCAGGAAGGTCACCAGGGTCAAAAAGCTCCGCGGTTGGCTTCACCGGCCGGGCATCCGCGCTCCAGGCTGGTCGGTCTTCACCGTCATCCAACGGCCGGAGCCACTGTGGGAGACCTCAGGCCGGTCGCTGTGGCCAAACCACCATGGAAGAGCTTCCAACCTAGAAGCAATGGCCTCCAACCTAATAGCGATGGCCTCCAACCCCAATAGCGATTCCAACCTGGAAGGAATGGCCTCCAACCTATAGAAGCAATGGCCTTCAACCGAATAGCCATGGCCTCCAACAACCATGCTAGCAGTGATTTCAATTGAAAACGTCGCTGGATAAAGGCGCTCGCAGCGTCAAACCAACCGATCGCTGTGGCATCTTGGGAACTTCCCAAACCAACCCTGCTAGCAGTGAGGTTCCATTGACGCCCTTGTTTCTTCCCACACATCTTAGATCTCCGTTGGGACTCACCAAAAGCCGCGTTGCAAACTTCTGGAGTTGTGGTGCTCCATGTTCCCAAAAAGAAGACAAGGGATCTGTGGTATCTAGTACCCGGACACTCCATGTATGGAATATTTACCAACAATTAACAATGACCCCTTTTCAACCACTCCGATATACCCCGATGTATGCAAATATGGCAGTCCTATTAGTTGTGTCTGGGGTGGTGCTGCACCATTTGACCAGCGGCGTGCGCCACAGCCTGCAGCTTGGAGGTCGGGTCGAATTTGCCCTGCAAGACGTAGTTATGGTCGTAGCCAAGGCCTCGAGAAGACCAAACCCAACTGCTCCTGACTTCCGAAGAAGCAACCTAGTGACGATGGCCTCCAACCCAGTAGCGATGGCCTCCAACCTAATAGCGATGGCGTCCAACCTAAAGTGGTTTCTTTTTGCGACTGTTTGCTGGTTGAACCTTTTATGCCTCACCGACTTATTGTTGGCTTGCTTGCTGGAGTTGATTTACATGGATGCACGTGGTGGGTCAAAAGCTGGATTGAGACCACGATTGACCTCCCAAGTCACCTGCCTTGGTCCTCATTTGTTGATTTTGCTTGGTGCCGGGGGTCGTTAGCAGCAGGCTCTTTTGGCCACCCGCAAGCTCTCAAAATAGTGGACCACTCAGCCCCCCACCGGAAACCATAAGAAAACCAATGAATCAATCCCTAGAGAAGTCAAAGACCTCATTATACTGCAGTTGGTCATACAAGTTCACACTACTCAAGGAGGTAGAAGGACCAGGTGTTGCTGGGTCAGACTGGACGAGCGCAGGGAATGCTTGTTCCGACATGGCAGGTGTCCACCTTCATGGCAGGTCGTCCACCATTTCCGGGCTCGGGCCGGAATCCCAGCTTGGGATGTCGTAGCATGCGATGTGCTGGGCAGGAATGGAAAAACATCTCTGGTTGCATGCCCAATCCATGAAATAATAAAGGCTGCACGGACGGTCTCGTCTCCTTCCCCCCCAAGAAAAGGAGGATTCCAAGAGCTGAAAGGGACTGCTGGACTTCCTGCTGGACTTCCTTCCAGTCACTCCCCATGCCCGGTGTTCCAAGTGGCCGTTGTCGGCCTCTTTGATGCCCTTACCTCAGCGTCGATGTGAAGCATGATGCCACACAGGCGAATGTAATACATACGTACCAGGGGCCCCTAAAGGGTGGTTCATGGGCACCCCTTAACCTCTAAGTAAGAGGCTATTAGTAGACACCCCTTGGTGGTTGCACCCCTTAACCTCTAAGTAAGAGGCTATTATTAGACACCCTGGAGGGCCCTGGTAAAGATACCCTTTTTGGAGCCCTTTGAGCTTGGGAGTGCCTCAATCTTCTCTCACCACCTCTTTGGTGAAGGCTTCAAGTCTGCAGAAAGTGCCAGATGCGGCGCTTGGCTATTTTTCGTCGGATTCTAGGACCCCGTTCGACTTCCGTTCGACCATCAAAGAGATGGTTGACTCGGTTTTGTAGTGTAAAATCCTCAAGTAACACATAGCCAAACCAATGGTGCTTCGGGACGACCCCGCCTATTGATTCGTTGGGATGCTTGCTGGGCCTTGTTCAGGTGGACCGATGTGAAGGACAGTGCTCACAGGGCAGTGCTCACAGGCGCCCCCACCTGCCGGGTCTCCGCTGAAATGGACGGCCCGCACCTTCCGATGCTTTCTGCCAGAACGTCCGTGACGTGACGAACATGAACTAGCCCACCTGGAAGTCATAATCCACTACCAGGACCTCGGGGTAGTTCAATTTGAGTCATTTTCCTGGACTCTCAGGGTATCCTGTGGCCACATGGTAGACCTGATTTAGACTTGGTAGACCTGAGCGCATCATCTCGACTGCGTCGTCGACGTGGGCGTCGTCTACATAGACTCCCAGCTACCCGCAGCTTTCCTCCACCTAAAAGTTCCACCGTCTCGCGCCGTGCTTCGAAGCCTCATATACGCACCGTCACCTGTGTCCGAGGCGCCGATCTTCACGCTCTGTCGCAGATCCATCGCCCCCGTCACCGCGCGGACCTCGCCGGTCGGGATCGAGGTGTCGTCCACGGGCCTCGGGGGGCGACATGCCGCGGCGCGCGGCGAGCTGCGCAGCTTTTTCGCGGCGTGGTGGGCAGCGTGACGAGCGTGACTCGCTTCCGGTCGAGCGTGTTTTTGAAGGGCCCTCCCAAGAAGCTGTGTCTATAGCCCGGACACTCCATGGGACTGCCATAGGACTGCCGATCCACCCCAACTGATCGCTATATATGGCAGTCCCATGGAGTGTCTGGGTAGCACCTGCTCCAAGAATGGTCTGACCCAGACGCCGCAGAAGCGCAGACTCATTCTTATTTGAAGTAAGAACCCCAAAGCACCTTCGCTCCCTGACGAGCAAGAAGGTATATCTATTCCATGTGTTGCCTTTCTCTTCTTCGATGGGACCCTAGCTCAGTTTTCTAGAAACCGGGACCATGGTTCCTACGTCGCAAAGCTATTCTTGTTACAGATGTTACATTAACATTTGGATTACATTTGGCTTCTGGCATCTCATTTGTGCTTGCTCTCCTTGGCCGGCCATCTTCAGAACGGTCGCTCGACTCGCCCCTGTCAACCGTCAAATCCTCTGTCTATCTCCGCACCGCATCGCCGTGCACATAAACCCCCTCCCCGCGTGGTCACCGAACCACCTGACCACCTGACCGCCAGGGCACGTGTAGAAATCTGCGAAGAGACTGATCCTCACAACGAAGCCACCGAAGCCCGGGCGCACCACCGGGGATCGACGTTGGGGATCGTTGGTCGTGGAGTCGTGGGGGTTGGCCCCCGAAAACGTGCCTGACCGAGCGACCCGTCTGAGCTCGGTCAGACAGGGACAGGGAGGTCCCCTTTCTCTTTTTTTCGGCGAGAAGACCAAAAGCCTTTCGAAAAGAATGATGGCACTGGATGGTTTCAGGGATTCTGAGACTGGATGCTGTCACTAAGACTTATCACTCCTGAGCTGAAAGCTTTGATTTCTACTCTTGCAGACCCCAAAAACACGCTAGACCCAAAGGGCCCCTCCTTGCCTATCCTTGGATTCACTGCAAAAACTAAACCCTTTGCCATTGGACATTACACCCAAGGGGTCTAACTTGGACTGTCAACCAGGGAGTCGAGCGCCCAGTTCATCGACCATGGTCACCATGGTCACCATGCTTTCCGAGCAGCTCATGGTCCAAAACGCTGGAGATGCCTCCATCAGCGAGGTTCCAATACGACTGGGCCAGCGGTGGGACTGGTCCGGATAGTCTTCACATCGGTCACACGGTTCCAATTCCACGTTCGCCAAGTTCAGACGAACGCGGAGCTTTCGCCGTGGTTCATGTTTTATCATGTGTGCACCTTTTCCCTTTCTTCTTGCCCCATCAGAGGAGTGCCAAACGAACCGTTTCAAAGCCGCTTCTGCTTCGATGCCCGAACGCCGCACTGTCGACACCAAAAAGCTTCCGTCCAGGTGGAGCTCGCGTGATCCCTGTGACATCCCTGCGATGTTCGTTTGACCCACTCGTCCCCCCATGAAAACCCCGTGAACTCGGTTGTCAGGTGACATGAATGACCAGGTCATATTCATAGACCCGCAATTTTGGGAGACAAGATTCAATGCTCCAAACCAAATCCGGTGTGTTCCAAAGCGATTCAATCGCGAAATCCAAGTTTACCCTAATTAAACCAATGTGAATCACGACTAGTTAACATCCACCCAAATGCCCCCCGCAAGCAGGCCAGCGATGACATGTTTCCGAGGAACATGGTTGGTGAGGTTCACGAGGGTTGGCCTCAGCTGGGCGATGTGCTGAGCGGTGCGGGTGTTGCTTGGCCCCTCATCTGCCGTGATCGACGCCTTGATCGCGAAGACGCCTTGCATTTCTTGCTACTAATGCTCTTGTTGCTAGTAGCTTTTTGTTCCTAGTACAAGTATGTACAAGTAGTAATGCCAGGAGCTACTAATTATATAGTAGCTTCTTGCCTTTGGGATTACATGAAAATCGACCACCTGGAGATGTCGCGTCCCAGATCAAGAACTTTTGGTTTCTACCGGCAGACCTGGCAACCATCGGATGTCCGCCTCAAAAAAACGCGGACTTGACGATGGTATTTGAGAGTCTGGAACTGGAACGTGGCCCCCCCCGGAGCACCCGTTCGATCTCTCTGGTGGTTTTTCACTTCGATGATGATTTCAAGGAGTGCACATAGGACTCCCAGCCCACTTGGGCGATGGACTGGTGCCTATGGTAATGACTTGCAGCCCAGTGGCGCATCGGTAGTGGCTTCATACTGGATCCGCAAGGTGCTCGAGGAGGGCAGGGAGTAGTGCACCCTGGTAGGCACGGTGCACACGACTTCTCTCACGGTCAGAGGCTTAGTTTGCATGCGTTTGAATGACCTGAGTCATAGCAAAATCACCGTGTTCCTCTTACAGCATCTACACGTTTCGCGAACCCAGCTGCTTGGTCTCCCCTAAAAACCTTTCGCGATAAAAACGGGTCAAGGAAATACATCGTCAGAGACTGTGAAGCGCTGGACATCTCAGAAGCCTCTGCGAGTTTCGCCGAATGAATCCCATTCCGATGGCGCGCTGCTGCGCACCGCGAGTTCGAATGCCGCACGGCGCAGCGCTGCGGACCGCGGACCGCGGAGCGCCGCGGAGCCCGCGCCTCGCAGTGACTTGCCCTGGATAGTTTTCATCGCCTTGCACCGGTCGGGGCGAGGGGGGTTCTGGGCGATTCCTTTGAGCGAACACCGTTCTTGGACCGTTTGGTGAACCTCCAAGAGGTACAGTAGCTGTATGTAATGGTGAGTTCAAACATCTTTGGCGTTGGATTCCTGGATCCATCGGTTTATAGAAGGACAACCCCGTTTGACGGCAAAACAAGGCAGCTGAGCATTTTCCTCTTGGTGAGCCACATAGTCTGAACCACGTTTGCTATCGTGCATGAAACTACCCGCAACGCAACCTCTGAGGAAAAACACTGTTCAAGTCCCTCCCTGGTCTTTTCAACTGCAACACCTGAACACCGGGCCCGTCATCCTCAACCCTCCGCGTGGCCGTCAGGTGAAATCAGCTTCAACGTGATGGCTGTGGCCTCTGAGTCCTCCAGGGAGCTCAGGCGGCGCCGGCGCCGGAGGGTCGGATTGAGGCCCACAACAACCTCACGTCGACAGGTCTTAGCCTCGTTCTTGATGGCATTTATTATGAGGAAAGCCTGGATGGCGAGTTTGGTCGTTCATTGTTCACCCCAGAAGTTCATCTAAATTGATTCTAGGTTTTGGCTTTTGCCCCATGCCATCACTTCAGTTTCAGTCGCGTTGTTGTAGTCCCCTTCGGCACTGATCCCCGCAAATTTCTTTGTGAACCTTTACATCTTAGCTGAACCATTGGGATTGCAACAATCAACCAATTGTGGCCCTTCGGCGCTTCTGGACTAGGTTGATGAATGGCAAAGTCATGACAAATAATTACATATCGATCCTTGATGATTTGTCTTGATAGTCCTCTGTGTCCCCATCGTCTGGAAAAGCCCTGCGATTTTCCGGTAATAGTATTTTGCCTGGGCCCAGGACATAGCTGGTCCTCTTCGTCTTGTTTGTGTTCTTTGTCCTCGTCCTTGTGTCTGATATGCTGGTCTCAGCTCTGGGCTTCAACCCCTGATCATGCCCCAGAACTGTTCTATCTTTTGGTCTTCAGTTTCGACAATTGTCTTGTCGCAGCTTCGCCATACAAAAAGCCTTACTCTGAGACACGCGTGGCTGTCTCTTTCAGGCAAGCACATGACTGCCGGCATCACCACAGCCCCCGGAACCCTGCCAGCCCTCACAAGGCTTTAAGTATCATAAAACATTCTCGTGGCTCTCAGTTCTTCCACGAGTTGCCGTTGTTGTCCACGATCGCTTTAGCAGTCGTCGGGGACGGCCCACTTCCTGTCAGTTGGTCTTTCGGCTGATCTTAGATGGCTTCCAACCGTCTCTCTTTGCTGGTGACTCTTTGATCTCGAAGCTGCCTCTGATTCTGGATATCGATACCTTGCTGACAACATCCGTTTGGCCTTCGGCTGCCTTGTTGGCACATCCTCGATGGCTTCTTGAGCTGACACCTGTTAACCTGTAGGCATCGTGGTGGCGCTGCTCTCTTGAGAGCCATCTGCGTTTTGTGTGGGGAACAGGTGTCCACTGGAAGACGTACCTGGAGCGGCATGTGAGTACGCTCCACCTTTGCTTCCGACCTCGACATGATTGTCCCGATATACCAGCCACCGGGGGCCCGCTGTCGCTCATGATGTCCTAGGTAGGAGTGCCTTCACCAATCAGTCGGTGGCCCCGCACAGCTCGTAGCACCGCCGATAACATGCGTAGGCTGTGTAGATGTTACTATTACTACCAATGATGTTATCCTTGGATCTGCCGGACCATCAAATACAAAACCTCAGCACCTAAGTAGTGCGCCTTTTCTCACTTGAGCCAAATGGCAGCAAAGTAAGGCACGTACACATACAATATCTTACCGTACTGTGGCTCGCGGTGCTCGAAAAGTACATGTTCTGGGATCATGTGTCCACGCTCCACGCGGAACCGCCGGGGGCGCCTCCAGTGTCCACAGGAGCTTGTCAAAACCGATGTTGCCCCCGTGAAGATGGTTGGGGCCTCTGAACTGGACCAAACGAGCAGAGCATCCGTGAACTGGGCAGATGATTGTCTATAGGTGTAGGCAGGGTGCGATGTGGGGTTCAGAACGGAACTGTATCAAGAATGTCCGGCTCTAAACCGTTGCGACGTGCAGAATCGTTTTATTCAACAAGCTAGTGTTTTTTCTGGCTGCTTGGCTGGGTTTGATGAATGAATCCGCAATCATTTGATTCCACGATGCTCTTTAGAGATCCATCAACAGATACAGTACGCTGAGACGCTGTCAAGGGGTTCAGGGCCCCAAATCCTTCCAGCTTGTAGACATTGCTTGAGGTAGTACTCCCAAGGGTCAAACAAAAAGCTTCGATGCGGCGCTTCTCGAAACTCTCGCGTGGATTCTTTCATGTTTGACACCTTGAAAGTCTCAACCCTCAGGAACTCTGGAACTCGCGTCTGGCCAAGCAGCCATTGTTGGTGGCCAACTGGTATTGCTTGCCATCCAGGTAGAACTTCCCTCGCGTTTTCGGCATGGCCAAGTCCAAAGGCATCAGCAAAAGGATGTAGATCGTCGAAAGTGAATGAGATCTAACAGTGCTGGACTCCACCAATGGATAGGAAACATCCACTACTTCAAGTTGGTATTGCATTCACTCATATGGCAGAAGCTCGGAATATCTGAATAAAAATATACTAACCCATTCAGCTGCCCTCCGCCTGCTGCAATGCGATTTGCACAGCGTCCGGCCACCTCACGGCAGCCCGGGCATTCTTCACGTGGCCAGGAGCGGGGGGGAGAAGATACGACTCAGTGGGCTGAAGGAAAAAAGTTTTAAAAAGAGCTGTATGTCTTGAGTATACTGCAGTGTGCATGTTTGTATATTTGAATATTACTTGCCTTAATTTTTGTTATATGTTTAAAACCCTCAACTGGGATTGGGATGCTCTCTACTTGAGGTGGTTCTCAGGGATTAATATTTCTCTTCAGCAGCCCGGAGAATCTACTTCCTCATAGGCCATAGATGGATTCTGTTTCCTTTGGACCTACTATATGCTATGACATACTGATATATACTGATATATGTGCAATATATTAATATATATTCTGTGTGTCTTTGCCACCTTCATTTACGGCGCCTTCCACCGCTGTTTTCCCCCTCGACGGATCCGACGTCCCGGTGGGTCCAGCGAGGTCGCCGCATCGGGCGCTCGGAGCCGGGGCGCTGCGCCGAAGTAAGGGTTCGTGGTCCAATCCAAATACCTCGGATCTCCGAGACCGGTCGCGGCGCGGCGGCGGAACCGAGCTAGCTCGACCGGCGTGGGGTTTTTCGGATGCGACGCCTCCGATCGCGGGATGCGCGGCGGTGGCGAGCTGCGGCGTGCTGTTTCACTCGTTTTTCACCGGCGGCCGTTTTTTTGGGGGGGGTCGAGGTCACCGCTGGAAGGTGCTGCTTGGCCGCTGGGAAACGTGATGTTTGGGTTGCGCTGGTGTTCGACCTCCGCGCACCAGGATGGCACGACGTGGGATGGCAAGAGTCAGGACAGAGGCCTCCGATGGGTGAGGACAAAGACAAAGCTTGTGATGCCAAGAGGTCTTGAAAGAAACCATTGAACAAGAATGTCTAGCAGGGTCCAGCGAGACACATCCATTGTATACTTCCAAAGGCTCTCCAGGCGCAAGTTCTTGAACTTGAAAAACCTCCAGAAAGATGCCGAAACCATCCCCAATGTTCTTTCAGAGACCTCCAGTAGAGGCCTCCAGTAATTAAGGTATATCCTTCCGCAACAAAAGTCACCTGACCTGACGTCGTCGGATGGCGTCCTCTGTTCGTGGCCTGATTCAGTTGGGTCTGCGATCTCTGTTCCAACCAAATGTTCATGAGAGAATTCGTTTGAAACTTGTTTGAAAAAAGAAAAACCTCTTGGGACAAGTGGCCCAAGAGAGAGTTCACTGTTTTCAAAGCTTCGATTTCCTTCAGAATAAAAAACAAAGAAACATCCGCAAAATACCAAGAGAGGTTGAGAGGCCTGAACTAGGACCCTATAGTGGTACATCTCACATGGGCTATGGGTCTCTTCAACCTCTCTAGGTAGGCCTCGATGGGTCTTGCCCAGACACCTGTCCCCTGCGGAGCGACGCCAATCCTGCGGGGCCTTTTCCGGTGCATCTGCGGACCCGTCCCCCCCCCCCCCGACAGACGAGCGAACAGAAGGGCGACCGCCCCCAACGACCATGGTTGACCAAAGTCAGTCTACCGGGCTCCAGGTGGTGTCACTTCTCCTCACTTCTCCTCACTTCTCCCGCTCCGATTGCATCTCGCGCCACGGCTTCAGCTCGTCGTAGCCCAGGCAGATCTCGCCCAGCTGGCCCTTCGCATCGGGCACCTTTCGCGGGTCCCGGCCCCGGGTGCCGGGAGGGTCTGCGGGCCATCCGGGCGATTGGCCATCGATCTATTGTGGGAAGGTTTGGGGGGTGAACATCGATGGCTCGACTCCCTATAGGTCTTGGATGGTTGGCTCTTTTTCCCGGTCATATGGCGCTCATGGCGCCAGGCAAGCTCAACGCCTATAAAGACGTTTGCAGAAAGCGGTCGCGCTTTCGCTCTCACATCTCAGCGAAAGATCCCGACGTCTTGCACCGACGGCACCGAGAAGCTCCTTCGACGCCCCTTGGTCAAATCGACGTGACACCGTGTGACCGACGAACGCATGTGGAGATGACATGCGACCGGAAGGGGCGGAAGAGGACGTTCCTTTACAAGGGGGGTGAACTCCACTTCTTGGGGTGCTTAGCAGTATACCCCACGTAAGATATCAATAGAAAATGAATCCAGTAGCCCACATGGTACCCAGGATTAATTTCTAAGGACCCACGCATGTGAACTCCACTTCTATGTTTTCTGTGTTCGTCACCCATCTTTCGCATCTCCTTGCCCCCCCTGCTGTGCCTGCACGGAGCAGATGGTGGCTCCCAGATTCAGCACTGACACCTATGCAGATGCACAGGTGTAGCGGTGTAGCATTCTGCTAAGTGAGTTCTCCGACCACTTCAGGTAGCGTCAAAGCTGTTGCTTGGAGTTCTCCACTCTTGGGGATTCTGAGCTCATCCTTGCGACACCAAGAGCTTCGTTCATTTGGAACCGACCACTGTTGGATCTCATCTTCTCTCTGCACTTCCTACACCCCGATCGGAATCACCCATTGACTACCAGGCCCAAACTGCAAGCACACATGGAACTGTGCACGCACTTCTGCAAGCAGACCGCAATTGGGTAGAAGAACCAGCCTTTCAGGTGCCTTCACTCTTCACTTCCAACCCAAACGGTGGTCATTCGTCGGCCAAATGGCCTTCAAGGGCCCGTTTTGCATCGTGTACTTCATGACCACCGTGCCATCCTCCTTTCGCCCGAACTCCACAGCTTCCGCCATGGCGGAGGCTCCGTGCGCGCAAAAGCCGCAAAAACCGTTCATGCCAAGTCTTCCAATGATACGGGTACGTAGATGAGCAAAAGAAATTCAGCAGGACCCTTGCTCCGTACCTGTTAATTCTGTGTATGACATAGCTATAATAAATAACCGTCAATATTCAATTCCAAACCCAAAGAATGATCCAGAGGCCATGTTTCTTCAGATCACTGCGAGCTTTCATTTCAGTTCAGGAATGGCGATGCCATCTGAGGGGAATGCCACGTCACCACGTTGTCTTCATGCAGCTGCACATAGACTCGCCGATGGGTGCGCTCACTGCTGGGCCAGAAAAAGCCCATGACCAGACAAGTCCTTGCGGTCGCCCCAGCAAGCGAAGCACAAAGACCATCAAAGAGCATCAAAGAACCTAGTAGCGATGCCCTTTGCTCCTAGTAGCTTTAGCTTCTTGTTCCTAGTAGTAAGGCCAGGAGCCCCGTTCGTAGCGTCCTTGCTCCGTTCGTAGCGATGCCCTTTGCTACGTTCGTAGCTTCTTGTTCCGTTCGTAGCCACCCTTGCCTGGATTTCAGTGAACAGGGATCCCCTGCAGATCCAACGACCAAAACACGGTAAGCCTCATCCGACCGGGCACGGGACACCGCCCACGGACCGTCTACCAACTCAGCGCTGGGTGACCAGAGCTAATCATCCAAAGAAAGATCAAAATGGACCGAAGCCCAGGTTCCCTTAGTTGCTGGTATCTGGTTTACTCTGGCATCCACTCGAAATCTGCCAGATGTGTACTACGGTAGTAGCTTGCCTATCTGCCTGATTGCCTGGAAAAAAATAAAAAGAAGAAAACGGATTTAAAATAAAACATCCCAAACCATTTGGAAGGTCAGAAACCCGCCCCACTGGTTCCGCCGCGCCCCGGCCGGGGCCGCCGACCGCAGGTGACTTGCTGCTGCCCTGCCGTGGGGGGGGGGAGTCGCACCGGCCCACGGTGGAATGAGGTCGACAAGAGGTTCCGTCAAAGACAACAAGTTCACCAGCAGTCACATGACGGGGTGCTATCCATGGAGGTAGTGCCCCTGTCACATCCACTCACTGGATGGGGCCAGTTCAATAGTTAATTTAGTGTTTTAGATTGTCTATGTCTTTTTTGGAAAAAGAAAAGTGCATGGCTCTTTGGCACCCAAGAAAGCAAATCAGCGATATTGCAGCCTTGCTCTGCGCAGAGCGTCGTTCGTGGCAGGAGTTCTTTCGTTGAAAAGTGAAAAGAAATCATCACCACTGAGAAAGTCATGAACGTCGGAGCGCCCCTGGTCCAGGAAACCATGACGCTTTGCGGTTGACCACCACAAAATGAACAGAAGAGACACGCCCCCCGGGTGGCCCGGTCACCGGGTTTTGCTCGTGGAATCCGAGGAACATCGCCCTGCCATCGCGGCAGAGAGTTCGTGTCTTCCTTATTCCACCATTCCAAGCATCGCCTGTCCAGCGAAAAGTAGGTCCAACCCGGAGTCCACCCCTGACTGCGGTTCCCAGGAACCCTTCGAAAAAGAAAAGGATGGTCATATTCCACAGGTGTCGGGGGATTGAGCCATAGTGCGGGGAACCAAAAAAGAAGATTCACCCAAGATCCGCCGTTCAACCATGCCTTAGTTCCATCTACTTGCTGCGACTACCCTGGAAACCAGTCCGAAAATCCCCCCCACACGTGTCCAGCAGGATCGTCTCGCGCGGGTTCGTCTCGGGCTTCGCAGCGGTTTGGACGCTTTTTGGTTCACGAGGCGTCCCGCAGCAGGTCTCGCAGTGGGACCTGGTCAAGTGAATCGGTACCGGATGCGTCGACGGTTCTTCTGCGCTTGGGCTCTCAAGCATCGTGCGCTTGGGCTCATGGCATGCAGGAAAAAAAAAAAAAAAATATATATATATATATATAAATGTTCTTATAAGTCAGGGAATGATCCTTTCAAAATCCCGATATCAATCTAACTACATGAGTTTCTTTTTAGTCTGTGCCACACCTTCGGCTTTGGTAGGTTGCGATAGGCTTCTGTCCAGTCACTTGGTGACGTCCTCTGCTCACCTGCGGCGGCCGTCGACCGGCTTAGCAGGCCATCGGGCCGGCGACCCATAGCGTTCGAGGACCCAGAGGTGCTGGGTCGCTGTTGTGAGAAGTTTGCCGGGCCAATCGCGCAGAAGTGGGAACTCCTGGTGACTCCTGGTGACTGAAGTTGTGCCATCTGAGGGTGATGGGCTTTGGTCACGAACGAATAGCAAACATCAGATCATGGTTCTTCGCTTCAGAGTTTGTGCCCTGCCAGCTGGGACGACCTCGGCGAGCCAATGCTTTCGTGTCTATCATGCCCCAATGTTTTGCAGGGATGATAGACTGGAACATCAGTGGCTGATGCTCTCTTACAGTGGCAGATCACATCCTACAACACGGGATGTGTAAACCCCCTGTCCTGTGTGACCAACCTAACTTGTTTATGTCCTCATGCACGTTCGGCAGCGCCGAATGGCGCCTCCTTCGCCTCCCGTCTCAGCCACGGCGGATTGGAAGCGCTCAGCCTCCGCCGCCAGAGCAGCCAAGACGTGCTCCTCAGCGCTGGAGTGGAGCCACGTTCGGACAGACCGACCTCCCAAACGACTCGAAGTGGGGCGCCGGGCTACTCGGCGTGCCGAGTCCGTGAGAGTGGGGGAACAGGATGTGAACAGGAAAGATGGGATGGGCATTTCGCTTGACATGAAGGGCGCGTCTCCAAAGTGTTGTATGCTGAGACTGAGAAGCTGTGATGGTCGAAATACCCGGGGGGCTCTTGATTCAATGAATTGCGGGAGCCAAGTCATGTTCATATACAACCGGTCGTGTTTAGACGACGTGGCAACATGTCCAAACCATGCCTTGATACCCACTATCCCAGGCCCAAGGCACGAGCCGTCCGTCTTCCCCAAAGAAATGCGACACGCTGTGGCGTGCCACCGGCACGGCCACCAACTGCGCCACCACCCCGCGGGCGCTGTTGCGTGCCGGAGTCCAGGACAAGCTGTCCTGATGCGCAAGGGAGGCACTTAGCTAGATTGGACCACTGGGACAGGTCATAGATGGCCTATGGGCCGTGTCCAAACAATCCCTGGTTAGCTCACCGAAAATGAACAGATCCCTTGTAGCAAGGGAGGTCAACCTTCCCTTGTACGGTGAGGTTTTGACCCTACTGCCATATATCAATGGTGATGATGCTTCGGAGGCTCTGTTCCTCATTCACTGTCCTGTTCTTCATCCGAAGCATCCAAACCGGTGGGATGGGATCACACGAAGCCTGTGAAATGACCCGCAAGCGTTCGGTGCAGTCCACCCCGTGACGGTGGTCATTCACTGTCACAGGGCTGGGGAACAGCCTCAAATGTACCATGTTCATGGTTGTTCCTCCACACATGGTTTCTCTTACAATGAAAAACTCTCATAGAGAACCACTCCCTTGACCACGGAATCCACGGTCTTCCACGGTATTCGTTTCGATCGATCTACGACACATCTGAGCTGGTGCAAAAGATCGGAGCTTCAAAGATCTTGAGGAGGTGACCGAACTTGAGATGCCAGAATGAGGTCACTTATAGTAACTAAGTAACTAAGTACCAAAAAAAAGAGGTCACAAACAGAGACGAAGAGGTCACAGGTCACAGGTCCATCCCCCCTGATGATCTGGCTCATCATCTCAGACTGCTCCAGACCGACCTCAGCCCGGCGTATAAGGCCAGACCGACGCCGTTTCACCGCACGGTCATGTCGATGTGCCAAAGCATCCACCGGAGCAAACGCAGATTTCAGAGATGACAGACTCACATCCTCTCCCTGCAGATTCAGAGCTTGCACCACCTGCACCACCTGGAAACGAAGAACGAGACGTCATGGACCATGGAGATGTTCTTGTGCTTGAAATGGGAGTGTAAAAAACTGTGAAAAATGGACAAGAAAACCGGGTAAAAATTTTAATGATGTTTTCCTGTCCCCATAACCCCATATGTTGTTTTCAATGTTCCGGGGGGTCTGGCGCAGGGTGCTGCTCACCTTGGTGTGGGTCGCGTTCGGTGTGAAGCCTGAAGCCCCATAAGCCCGATAAGCCTCACGTTCTTCTTCGGCGCCCAACTGGAGACCATCTTTTGCGGTGAGCAATTCAGAACCAAACAGCATGCAGCATGACCGTTAAGAACCAAGATTGGGGGCAAGCGTGATGGTGCACACAATGCATATAGGCATGCCGCTCCACAAGCTGGAAAACGTGTCTGATTTAAGCTGTTCTGAGTTGATTAGAACTGCTTGTTGTAAATTTTCTGATGGATCCCTCTCTCAAAATCCACAGGTTGGGTTGGGTACGAGTCAGTATGTGGTTCCTCCACGAACAAAATAAGAGAAACCCGCAACCCCCTTCTGCCCCCCCCCCCCCCCCCCCCACGCGACCTACGCGACCCCCTCTTGCGAATTCCCTGGACCCGCTTCCGGCCTCCACAAGGCCTCGCAGGAAGCACTTCAGCACTCCGCAGCTTCGAACCTCAAAGTGTTCGGAGCCCCAGAAGTGCTGCCTCGGTGAGTGAACGCTGCTTCTCGGACTATGTAGCAAGAAGGTATGGCCTCCACCCTAGAAGCGATGGCCTCCTGGCCTCCAACCCAATAGCGATGGCCTCCGCCCGAGTAGCGATGGCCTCCACCTGGTAGCTTCTTGCAGTCCGAGAAAAGAGTTCGTCTTCCACCTGACCCAGCAAGCGAAACTCGAGACCGGTCTGACCCTTTTGGACCGTTCGATCCGCACGCCCCTTCGATCGGTCGCCCTCTCCGATCGCTTCTCATGGATGGGACCAGACTCGTCCTACCAGGACCGGACTCTACAGGTGCAGACCTCTGGTGGTTTTGGCAGACTTCAAAGGCAGGTGGTGACCTGTTGGAGGGTGCTGGTATAGAATTTGAGTTCACAAAGAGGCCTGGGGAAACCAGGCCCCTCGATGAGACTCCAGGCTCA